GCTACTTCGTAAACGCTTCTTGAGCAGTCGACCTTCCAGCCAACCTTCTGCAAACAGTTATCTCCACGTAATACAATTTCGTTCGGAAGTGCTCGAGGCGATCAAGGACTGGATAACGTCTGGAGGAGGAGCCCAGGACTGTCTCGATGATGTTCAGCTGTTTGAAGCTGTGCGCTCTTTCCTGGACAATCCATTCGATCGCTCTTCCTTCGATGCTCCGACTATGATTGAGAATGACGTCAGCCAAGCTTGGGACACTCTTGACAATGCTCGTCAAATAACACACACGGCGTTCACAACACAGACTCAACGCCCTCCTTCCGTCTTCTTAGGTGATACCCGACCGCTAAAATCGACACTTCGGGTGCGATCCTTTGGTAATCAACCACCGGACCTTGATGCGATCAGTGCTGATGAGCTCGTCGAGAATTTGAACGCTATGGGTTCTGCGGCGTTGAGTAATATAAGCGAGGAGGTCAGTCCTCCCCTTAGTAACTTCCAATATGGTTGCTCATTTTCCTTTCAGGACCTTTTCATCACCGCTGATCTGTTAGAGGTACAAAGCGCAGATCGTACCGGCTGGTTTTCAACTCGGGAAGTTCCGTCGACAGATGACATTGACATACAGTCCATGTATTCCCACCTGACGGACGTTCAGCCATCTTCGCTGATATCCGAGCTTTCTCAGGATACTATCTACCGTCTCCTACCGCCTAGCATCCGCAGTTGTATCCGTGCCTTTAATATTCTTCGGAAATGGACGATTTCTAAGCTCGTCACACCGAAACTAGGGATCCGACTACGGCAGGCGAGAATGGACCTCTTCCTTCGAGCCATCGAGATTGCCCGTCTAAGGAGCATGAACGCTGGTTCTGTGTCCTTTGGGTGTGGGGACCGATCTTGTGTCCGGTCTTTCGTCGAGGCTGTCCTAACCTCGGCTGTTGTTAGCTCAGAGAGCCGTATGCACCATCGTCCATGGCAAAATATTGCGAATATTCGGGGGGTTCAGTGCGATAGTCTTGTAGGGCTTCTCTCAAGACCGGCTATGCCCAAAAAGTCGTATGGAGATGTTCTCGCTGTTGATGTCAGCTGGATTCTGGAACGTATACTGGAGTTGGTGAGTATACCGAATGTGGTCATGACGTCAGGCGAGAACGATCAGTGCATCATAAACTTAGACAAGCGCAGGTAAGGCAAATTATGGCTATCAAATACGGTCTGCTGACAGGTTTCCAAGGCACCTTTGCAACCTCGTTCTGACTACCCCATCGCTCTCGAAGAGGAGCCGTCCCCGTGAGGACGTCGACCGGAAAGACTTTGAACGGTTGAACAACATCGAGAGAGAGATGAACTTGATTTCACTCGACCACCGAAGTATCAGAGACGAGGCCCTGCGGGAAGCCCTACAAGCTCAAGGCAATGGTTCGGCATCTGTCAAGAAGACGGTACGCCCATTCCAGAAGCTAGTTACAGCGCAACAAGAGAAGTGCAAGCGAGACAAGTATCTCCATGACCGACTCAGCAAAGATAAAAAGCAGGAACAATTGCGCAATGAGCGGAGAGATGATCAAATTAATAAGGCGATGCGGTCTCGAAAGCCGATGACCCAGGTTCAGAAGCAACACCGGATGAAGAAAAGCTACTCCTCAGCGTTTTTCCAACTGATGAGGCCTATCTCTAGTGCATTTACTGATAGCATGCACGCTACCGCATTGAAGCGATCGCCCGCTGAATTGGACTTCTCGCCCTCTGGTAAACCTTCTTTGGTTCTTTCGGTCGTTGACGCTCGAGTTGCCCAATTTATCAATAACGAGAGGTCGTTCACATTCCAGCTGGACACCGAAGACGGCGGTCATTATTTGCTGCAGGCTATTTCTAAACAAGAGATGGTACGATGGATCGAGCAAATCAATCGTGTTGCGAAACTTGCTGCTAAACGCCGCTTGACGTATCTTGGAAATTCACCAAAGCCGCAACTCGCAGACCATATCCATGACCATCCATCAGCTACTACAGCTTCGCGGGATCCCAGAGCTGGTAAGGTATTCCAGGTTCTCCATGTCCCTGTCTCTCATACGTTTCTAGTCTTTGGAGTCGAACTGGAGTTTCTCCTCGAGCGTGAAGCTAATGGAGCACAGCCCGAGATTGGCTCGATCCCGTCGGCTATTCTGACTTGCCTGTCTGAAGTCGAGTTCCGTGGCCTTAGTGAAGTTGGCATCTGTATGTTCTGGCGTCGCTTTCTCTTGCAGAAGTCTGACTTTTTTTCACAGATCGTGTCGCTGGTGCTACTTCTGAAGTTAACGCTCTCCGCGACGCCTTCAACAGAGGTATGGTTTCTATCTGAAATGGCTTGCAGGTAATTAACTGATGATTCGCTAGGCGAGTGGCCTATCACCTCTGATAATGATATCCATGCCGTGTGCGACTTGGTCAAGTCATGGTTTAGGTTACTCCCTGAGCCTGTCTTCCCATCGTCGTCCTATTTCAACGTTATCGAGGCAATGAGTAAAATCTATCCCATTGATAGTCTTTTTTCAATGCTCATGTTCTTGCAGAGCTCGAGAATCTTAATGCGCGGCTTGCATGTATCCGGAGTGTTGTGCACGGGCTTCCTCAGGCAAACTTTGATCTTTTGAAGAGGATTGCCGAACATCTCGATAGGTGAGGTTTTCTGCTTGTTTCTTTTGTCAGTTGCATGATATTGATGCTACTACTGCAGAGTAACCGACTATGAGGAACACAATCAAATGACAGCCGAAGCCCTTGCAATAGTTTTCAGCCCCAACCTCCTTCGTGCACCACAGAATGACTTTGCCCTGATCTTGTCGAACATGGGACATACCCACAAACTTGTGAAAGCCCTGATCAGTCATGTACGTGACGTGACACCACTCATCGTTCCTTCACTGATGCTCGCTGCAGTTCCATGTAATTTTTGACGACGAGCTTGAAGCCGACCATGACGTAGAAGAGGATGAAATGGAGGAGCCCATCCTCGAGGAGGATGAAGAAGAGGAGATAGACTCTCCAGCTGCGGGCGATGAGTCATAAACCATGGACGTTCATGTATACCGTCACACCTAACCCCTTCATCTATAACGGACTCATTGTTATCATCATAATCCTTTTGCATTCCGTTCTCTGGGTCACCCACGACCATTCGCGGATATCTATCATGGACATTGTACAGTACCACACTCCCCACAGTATTCTCGCTGCTCATCCTGACGCTCTTTTTGGCTTCATCCATTTTTATTTATTTCCGTTACTCGTGACGTTTCCGGTCTGCGTAAAATTACTGTAGATCAGTCTAGATGCTCTCGTAGCACTGTCCTAATCTTCATCCCAGTCACTTGCTTGTTGAGGGGTGGTGCTAAATGTGGATTGATCCCAACCTCGAACTGCGTTTGATAGTAACGGTGCAAATGATAAAGTCCGAGACACGAATACGCGACGACGTTGGACTTTTGTACCTTTTCGCTGAGGACGTTGATGGTGGAGTTGTCTGTCGGGGGTGCATCTAGGACACGCTGGAGGTGGTGGGTGATCATGGCCATTGGAAGAGAGCGCCAGTCTTGGTGGAAAAGTGAAGGTTGGAGGTTGGGGAGTCAGAGGATGTGGTGACTGCGTAGAAAGGGTTGACGATGTTGATAAGTGCGTAAGTTGCGTTCGGTGGGTGCGGAAGAATCAGAAGCTTGTCACTTTGATCTGGGACAGCAAGCTAACTTGTGGATGTTGGAGGTGGCTTGGAGGTTGGAGAGTAAGAGGGTACAGCCCCGGCTGCGGAGAAACTTGACGACCTTGATGATATGTAAGTCGCATTCGGTGGGTGCGATGAGGATAAGAGTCAGAATTAAATATCAGTAAGGCATTATGGCAGGATCTTGGTGATCGATGATAGAACTTAGCTCGTGAACAAAGATGATAGCGTCTTTCGTGAAAATGCAGATTTGGCCAATAGGGACTATGTCACTTTGTCAGTACTTGACTGCCCCCGACCTGCACCTACGGTGTAAGCTTAACCCACAGCCTATCAGATTCAACGCGCAAGTCGCAGAGAGCGGTTGAAATGCGATAGGCCAAAATTGCCACTCACCGACTTTGGAGTTCTTAGTCAGAGACGGCGCAGCACAGCTTCGAAGGAACGGCAACAACCGAGATAATCTTGTCTATTTCCAATTTGCGAAGCAAAGTTTCACCCAAATTGGCATTAGTGATGCGTTCACTCCACCACCACGCGGACGCCGTCTGTTGAGCGTCTGTTTCCATCTGCAGACCAACCGCTTAAACAATGATATCACACGGTTGCCTTTCGTCACCTTGAACGCTGTAACCTAGCACAGTTACTATCATGCAATGGGTAATCGCTTTCTTAAAAAATTTGTGGTAAGTTTTGCCTTTGTATTCAATGTAAATAGCAGTCACTGATTACCCTCGGGCCTCGGTAGAAGAGAAATGACAGTCGCCACCCTGAAAATGAGCCATATAATATTGCTGCCACAGAAGTCAAAAAAACTCCAGTTGTATCGCAGTGGTGCAGGAGGGCTCGGTGATGTCTGGATGTGTTCTTGGCAAGTTCTTGGTCTCGACAATCTCGGGTTGGAAGGTCCAAGGTAATTGTGCACTAGGTCGAAAATCCACAATATTAAGTACCTTTTAGGTCGCGGTCAAATCAATTAGGGTTCCTCGAGCAGACGATATAGAACTGCTCAATAGGATAAGCAAGGTGAGAGCAAGAATGATCTGAAAGTTTTTGTGTTCATCTATTTCAACTCAGGATTCATCGTGAGGCTCGTGTTTGGATTGCCCTAGAGCATGGAAATATTCTACCTTTCAATGGTGTTGTTGATGTCCGGACCACTCCCTTCCCTAATTTCTCCGTGGAGTAAATGGATCGCTCGACAGTGATCTGAAAAGGGGATATATTCCTTCCAAGGTTGACAAACTGAGAATGGTACATACCATATCTTGCAACACCGGACGAGTCTGACATATCTTCAGTTGAGACAGATGGCGAGTATTGTGCGTTTATATCTTTTTTTTCTATATCTGGATCAGATATGCTCACCGACTTGTTAGTACACTACAAAGAAGTGGTCCATGGCGGTTTAACATATGTACGTCTTAAAAGTCGTAGCTAAGATATCTCGTTATGATAACTTGATTTACAGACCAATGTTCTGATGAGCGCCGATGGGAAGCTCTATCTTGCAGACTTCAGTCTCTCAATGATCCTTTTAGTAGCACAAAGCTCCAACTTCAATTCGTGCCATACAGGAAATGTGCGGTACATGGCGCCTGAGATACTTGGTTTACCCGGGGAAGGGAGAGTGGTCGTGCCAACCAAAGCTGCCAATGTTTACTCATGTGGTTGCATCATGCTTCAGGTGTGTTGTCCCTCATTCGATTCCATTAAAGTTACTGTGCTGACAACGTACAGCTGTTGTGTGGACGTGTACCTTACCTCTGGCTAACCCAAGCGTGCCACATCACTGCGGCAAGAATCGCGGGAATAGAACTTCCGTTAATTCTCTGATATCGAAGGCGTACACAAGGAGTTTTCGTTCAAATGCATATCTGTCAAATTCGGAGATCGATCAGTGGCTTCTGCGATTGCAGAGTTCTTAGGAGTAGAGTAACAACAACATGAATGCACTGCATCAGTGAATACCTGAGTCCTCGTTATTGTAGCTGTGAGAATTATTTTACTGCCAAAGAATGCATACTATACGAAATTTGATCTGTTCGTAGTAGCTAGTCATATCATGAAATCCAATATCGTCCATGACTGTTAGCATTGGACTTGAAGCTATCTTGACATATTCTAATCTTGCTATACTTCAACAATAAAATAAAACGGCCAACCTCGATTAAAATCTCACTGTCCGTCGCTCGTACTTGTAAAAATAAAATGGGCGAAATACAAAATGGAATTGAGTGGAGCTATTACTGTCTGCCACGCGGTGCTTGACTTCAAATGGTACTAGTCGTGTGGGAGCTCTGGAGTGGTTCTCTTCATCGAGCGAGCGTTGTATGGATCACAGACGGTTGACGAGAAGGAGAAACTTGCAAGAGCATTGTCTGAGATAGTTACTAATTTTGTCAACGCTGTTCCTTGTCTTCGAAGAAGTATAGGATCATCGGTATGCCGTGGAATAACTTGATACCGTCGCGGGTATCTGAAACTGGAGAGGATGCTGTGATGCCTGTGACCATGACTATTGTACCAGAAATCTTCGATCAAGCGCGTACCAAGAATGAGTATGCGTATCAATTTCAGAAAGACAGTAACTCATTATCTTTGCGCAGCAGTTGCAGGGTCACTAGCCTACTAATGGCATGGGCAAAATGCAGGTACTACACATAGTAAGTATAAGGGAGCAACGAGTGAAAAAAACATGAGATATCGACCGAGTACATATTGGAAGCATCGATGAGAATAAGCATCAACTTCCCCATTTTGTCGCTGTGCTGGCAGGTTCACTACAGGTTCAAATGATGAGGCGATGATTGGGATAAGAGACAGGGATCAGAGCAAGCGTTCTGTGGTTAAGAAGAGAATTGTCGACGCCTGCAGCCTGCAGGGTCGTAGACTCATAATCAAATAATACGCCCCTGTAGGTTCTGCTGAGACTTCTGCCATTTGACAGCAATAACAATTCTTCCAAATCGATCAGAATCATGCCCATAGTAAGTGTACGCAGGATATGGAAGCTGGCCATCGTCCTACAGTGTTCTCCCATCCTCACAGATATCATTCGAGAACCCCCTCAAAAGATCTCATATCGAAAATGCGTTTCTCCGTCCTCGCCGTTGTTGTTACTTTGGCAGCATCTATGGAGTGTGTCAGTGCATGTGTTGGCCCGAATGTATATTGCGCCACAAACTCGGACTGCTGCAGTAACGTTTGTCGCGTGAGTATGAACAGCCTGTCGGCAACCAGGATACAACCAACATGACTCACCTGCACGCTTCAGGGTGCAATTGGTAACTACTGCGAGTAGTAGTCGGTTGAAAATTGAAAATTGAACCGGCAGCCCAAGTGCTACGTCGAGACAGTGAGTCATGTTTCTGTTTTCGCTTTGGTATCATGGTCAATGATGCAATACCTAGTTCGGAGCCAATTAATACAGTTGTACTACTCGAGCAATGTGGATGTTTGAATTTATCTGAAAATGATTGACCGTGCCTAGTCTTGCTCGTTGTCCACTGAGCTCGAGGTCGAGTAGCGTAGGGAGCTCGAGAAAGATTCTCTTCATCGCGCAGGTTTTGGATGGGGTGCAAGGGTGGGTGGCGCGAACATGTGAACAAATGAGATAGCAATATTCAACGTAAAATTGCCGACCACTTTCACATGGAAATGTGTTGCATTGTCGAGGAAACACTGATTTGCAAGCTCGCGGGCCTGGTAGCTAAATTAGCTCCAACCTTGTTCAGTTGAATGGATCTAAGAAAAATGCACAAGCAAAGGCCTTGCATGAAGCCGAATATGGATCCATCCTGAGACCGACGATGAAGGAGGTTGCAATGTGTGTAAGTAAAAGGCAATTCGGCGCCATCGAAGAACCAAGCTAAAAAGACCCCAGTGAATAGAATTCATAGAACGAGTATGATCATACTCACCCTCGCCACGGCTTTTTTCTTATATCCCTGATGCACTGCACTGTGTGAGTTAGGTATCCTGGAAGTGAATGCAAAATACTGACCCCCTTGATACTAGCTGACATATCATTCCAACAGAGGGCAATTGCACTTGCTGGTTCACGCTGGTGACCATGCGGCAGTGAATGTGACATCAGGAATGATAGATGGATCACCAGGCGAGTACTGGCTGCGGACCACTCGTGGAGCGCACGACGAGAATTTGCCCTTGTAAAGGTAACCGTTACAAATAGGTTGCTCCTTTGTTGGAGAAGTTTAGAGCAATCTTCACAGCAAGAACGAGAACTATAGCTGTTGTAAAAGCGTGACTTCACGCGTCCAATTAAAAGTAGATACGAAACCGTCAGAAGCCAGTTCCTTCATCACCGTAAACATAACATTCGAACATGCGCGCGAGCCTCGGGAGGATACCTCGTAGAGGTGTGCGAGAGGGTTGCACAAATCTCTCAGGGAATTTGGTGAGGACCTCTCTGGGGATCCGGCAGGTCTCAGAGACCAGTTTTAAGGAAACCGGGTTTGTTCAAATTGTTGTGGGAACGAGGGAAAAGGGTGCTGAGTAATCTCCAGCTGGAGGATGGCAGCGCTGAACTTCGTTAGCTCAACGTTAGCTTCTTTCCTTCTTTGCTGTCTGGTGGGCTCCTGTATCTCTTATGTGTTTGGCGGAGTTTCTCTTGACGAGTGACGATTTGACATTGACCTAACATCATATCAAAATTAGGGAGATCCTGGTGACTCGGATATATCAGAACAACCTCGCAACAGTCCACCTGTTCATGAGCGGAAGCATTCAATCTGAGGGTCTCGATTTCGGGAATCTTAGCATCAGTTGACCGTGACCACGTCTTAACAGTTTGGTATGTGATATAAATATAGCGATTGTCCCTATTGAAATTAGGGTCGCTATCGGTCACCCAGTGTCACGACCTTGAACGAGGTGAACCACAATAATCTCACTGGTGGTTTTCTTCACGATGCTGAGGCTTGTTCTTTAGTTCTTGTTCCAATGCCTCGACACCAGCTCCTTCTTTCGAATGATCTTCAATGTCACGTACACCTACTTCAATGTCGGCTGAAGACACCGATTTTCTTCTACTTTCACTGTATACAAGTTGAATGACATGAGGCCTGAGCGCGAGGTCTTCTATCAACGCTACAGTAATTTAGTCGGGAGTCCGGTCGAGGTGTCAGGAAAATTTGTATAAAAGTGAGCACATCCATCAACTCCGTGACGAACTGTATATCGTGCGATCAAGCACTGTGCCAACGCGAAAGAGATAAGACTCACTATTGTGACATGCTCAGTTTGCCAAGCTCATCCGGACTTGCTCTGGCAGCACACGAGGGTACTTCCGGACTGGTACAAGGCGCAAAGGTGAGTCGTGGGGTTGAATTTCGGATGCAAAGCGAACGACTCATACTCACAGCATGCGGACACACAAGGCCAATGCAGCATGTGAGGCCTTCCGGGCTGGTCGGGCCACAAGCACGGTCTAAGGGCGCACACCAATCTGCGCTGACAGGTATAATTCTTGTCAAAGCTGCAACGACTGCGACGACTCGGAGGTATGAGAAATGCATGGCTCGTGCTAGGTTATATGGGATGTGTCAAGAAAAACAATGGCTCTGATTCTGCTAGTGGTGGCCTTGCTCTTATATCCTATCGGAAAAAAACAGTAAGCTTGGCACTTGTATCAGAATGGGTGCACTTTCCAGCGGAGTTCAGGGTGAGAGTATAGGCAGAACCGAAGGTTGGCGGATAAACAATCCAGAGCATGTGGACCGTAGACCAATGCATACCTCAGTGGACGTGATGGAGGTAGGACTGCCGAGGAAAAACATTGAGTATTGAATGTCAAGATGTCCGAATTTCCATTGAATTTCCATTATGCCCCCAGCCTTCGAGATCTGAGCCTTCCCAACTGTCTACGTTCAGACCCACTCGTGATCTTAATGTTTACGAGCTCTCTGCCGGCGAAGCCAACTTTGCCACGGGCTTGCAAAACGAGACTTCGGTACTTTCCATCCACCAAGAGGAGACACTCGCACATCCAGGGACATCCGATCCTACTGTTTTGAAGTGGTCTGCATCCATACTTAGTGTAACGTTGTCTGCCTCGAAAGTAGCTCACCATGTGTTCGACCTTCGTTCTGCTCCGATTCCCATCCTACGATGCGCCTCGTCGGACGTACATGCCGATTCGAACATATCTTCCCTTCCTCCTCGCGTCACAAACAAACACGATGGAGCTATAGTACATAGCGATTCAGTCGCTCGATACAAGCGTGGAAGGTCTCGGGCGTGTATATCGCATCTTTGATGGAGTTTTTGAACCTTCGCGTTGGCAGCGGAGCTCGACAGATGTTATACGGCCTGGCGTGAGCTTGGTGACGCACAGCACCAGGGACGTGCTGCCGTTCGTACTGCCAGAATCATGGAGTATTGCCCTGAGCGCTGCAGAGATGCCACCATCTTCAGCAGATCCAATACCTCTCTTGGTGTATGTTGTCAAGGGTCCGAAAAAGTCCGGAAAGAGCATTTGCTCGGATGCTCTTGAACAGGCTTCTGGCGAGATTTCAGGGCGTTGCATATCTTGAATGCGACGCGAGGCAATCCGAATTTACACCTGGGGGGTCGGTCGCCCTAAACATCATCGAAAACCTGGTATTTGGTCCGCCGTCTACACACCCTAGTCTTCCATACCGAGTACACTACGTTGGAGCAACTTCACCACGGTGCAGTCCGGCACACTATCCTGCGGTCCAGCCTCGTAGCTATGTCCATAACTCACAGCTCCCAGAACAAGACCAGAAAGTGGAACACCGCCGACCATTATGGTTGATAGGATTTAGCATCTTTTTGATATCTAATGTATTTGGATCTTTCGTGCAAATAGCCTCCCCGAGTCCTGTAGTCATATTGGCACCCCTGGGTACTGTTTCTCTCCTTTGGAATGCCTTCTTCGCTCACGATTACTCCCGGGAACAGCTCTCGTGGTTTCGGCACTTCGAGCACAATATCAAGTTCTGCTTTCATTTCGGCACTTCTCCGATATTCTACCATCGGTTATCGATTATCAACGACCAGCCGTATCAGTGCAGAGCGTCATCGCCACAGAATATAGGCTCTGCATCCTCCTTTCAAGGAGTTATTTCAACGACAGGTGTCTCGGCGAGGGGGTGTATTGGTATCAATGCCTATTTAGTCACCTTTGTCACCTTATCGTATGTACTGTCATCACAAAAATTGCTCAACCGTGAGATTACCCGATATGGACGGTAGGGTGGCTGAACATATGACCAAACAAGTACGTGTGATGTCATCAACACCCCGACGTGACATTTGAATGAAGCAATTAACTCAGAATGAGACCTCCCACCTCGCGATACTATCATAACGACATTAAGTAGATGATTCTTGTATCTACATGATATATCCTAGACACTACAATACATACGTAATGTCGTATAGCTACTGTAATCAAAGTATTTGCGCAACAGAAAATGAAAATGCAAATTTGATGCACGCCGGGCATTCGATCGATTGAGAAGCATGCTAAATACATCAAAGTGCGCCATATCCTTCCTCTGCAAGCACGTCATCATCGAGCTCCTCTCCTTCGTCAGCCATGACTCTACCCTCGTCATCGCCTTCTTCATCACTCTCGCTGTCAGCATTGTCATCCTCAATATCCTGCCACTCCTCCTCTGTATCTGCGTCTGATATGTCGGCAATGATTTCTTCAAGCTGATCACCCTCTTCCGGTTCTTCAGCTCCATGGTTCTCGTGCTGGAGAATATCGTCCCAGTGTCTGGTAGCTTTATGGCCGATTCCGCCACCGTGAAACCTCATGAACATGTCTCGATCGACAAATCTATATATATGATGTAAATATATCAGCCTTAGTTGCAAGAATAAATAAAAACAAATGCGCACATGTTCACATATTGAAAACGGCAGTCAGACTCAGGATCTTGAGGATCTGACCGATGTTGAAAACTGGGAATCAGATGAACTCCACGAATGACAGAGTCTGGATCCAAAAATCCGTATGCGTCAGGACTGTCTTCATCGAAAAATTCAAGGCGCTGGAGTCGTTTGGCAGCCCAACCTGCAGGTGAACTATCTCGTCTGAACCATCGGACAAATAAGAAGTCCATCCGAGTTGGGTGTGAGTACATTTGAGTGTCGTCCTCGCGGTATTCAATATTGATATGATAGATCCCGATCACACGGGCATACCAGTATGGATGAATCTTCTCATCTTCGTGGGAGAGAACCATAATGTCGGCACGAGTGTGGGGATTGATGGTGTCCTGTTCACGTCGTAGATCGTAGGTTGTATAGTTGATGCGCAAGATACTGTGGTGGTATATCTTGTTGTCTGTGAATAGAACTGAGGTGCGATCAGCATCGGAGAAGTCATGCTCATCTCCGTCATATGCAAGATTGCGAAGTCGAGCGAGGAGATGGTCCTTGAGTCGTGGAATAAACTCCTAAGAAAATACAATGAAAATGTGAATATACATATACGAAAATAACTTGCCTCGATCGCAAGATCACACAAGTCTCCAATGTCTCTGCGCTTGATTAACCAAGAGGTGATGTCATCATTTGCACGAGCGTATGTTGCAATTGAATAATGATCCGAGGGAGACATTCGGGTGCGCCGTGGTCTTGGATTCCGCTTTGCTGCAAGTGCAGCAATCACCTTCTCAATTAGGCGTTCCTGTGCTTCTTGAGAAGTCATGCTGGATAGGGTTTGATCCTTCTTCTTGGCCGTGCGAGGGTATCGGCGCTTTGATCGACAGTGCTCGAGTTCTCCCTATATAATATTAGATATTGTATGAATAACATTATGAGGAGATCACTTACTGGTTGTGTTGAATAGCTGTCTGAAGTACCGACTCGCCGGATAGTATTTGGGTAATCAGCAAGTGCGTGATATTTGTAGGTGAAAAGATTTAAGGTTTTCACCTTCGGGTTAGACTTCTGCAATGTGTTTGCAGAACCCACTTGTTTTGATGCTAATGCAGCCTCACGGCGTCCACGTGCAGCATACTCATTAGGAAGTTCAGTTGTGTGATAGTACGCACAAACAGTGCGTTGAAATTTGCGAACCGATTGTCCAAGGATCACAGTGATGGAGTCGAAAAATGCGAGAGTGTCGTCCGTATGTACACAAAGTTTTGCATAAGCGTGCCAGGTAGCAAGGTCGAAAAGGAGGTCAAGAACAACTGTATCATGTTCAGGAGGGAGTAGTCCTTCGAATACTGGAATAGCGCACTTGAAATGAAAAGCACATCAAGCACATCATCAAATTATGATCCGAACGTCTGATCAGATCGATCTTACCTGCAACATGTCTTCGAAATCACGGGCCGCCAGACGTTTCATTGCAGATGCATTTTTATGGAAACGTCTGATCGTTCCCCTGCCAAATGTAGGAACTTGGCGGTACCTGTATATCTTATAAGTGTTGTGTTACTGTGGTGAAAAGCACTATGACGTACCTGAAATTGAGATCTTTGACTGCTGTACCACCCGCAGCAAGAAGAATGCGCATCAGGTGTATGAAAATTGCTTTCCACACACCCAACTCGAACTCATGAAGCAAATCCACAACAAACATTGAAAAAAAATTGAATATATATTGGAGGAACCGTGTAGAGAATGTGTTCTAATATGAAGCAATAAGATATAAATATGAGATATGTGCATAGATTACTCACTCGAGTTGGAACCAGTGACTCGTCTTGTAAGATCCTCTTGATGCGTTGGCCATTGATGCCGACACCATGTTTAAAAATCAGCCTGCGGGCTTTTTCAACTTTGCGATGACGTCATTCATCATCGACACGCTGGGTTGCTTGGTGGTTCGCGAGATCAATCTTCGTTCCCATATTGGGGATGTCCTCTTTCTTGATCAGACAGCGGGGACAAGGGCATTCGCCAAGAAATTTGATACAAGCAAGTAGAATCCTGTAACAATAGATCTACGATGAGATATGAACATGGGATTTGATATCAAAATACGTACTTTTCAGGATAGTCTGCAGAGTAAGTAAAAAAGCGGGGGAAAACACGTCGAGTGACCCCATCACCGCATCGAATGACAATACCATTTTTATAGGCGTCCATGAACTTCTCATCCAGTAGAAGCGCCCATATGGCTTGCATGAGTTCACGTTTGCAGTGAGTATAGACATCACTGGATGATGCCTCGCCGAAGAGACGGCCATAACGGTCTTGGAAGTCGTCAGGAAGCTTAATACATCAGAATGAGTATAATCAAATTAATAGATCACAGACGGAACTTACATTAGGAATATATGCAACATGATGACAGGCAGATGCTGTCGGCTTGCCTCGTGTGTACTTGGATTGATTTCCAAAACAGAGATAGAAGGGCCAGAGAGACGCATCTCCGAAGCTGGCAAGATGAGTGCTGTCGGACCACATCATCAGTGAGGCTACAACTCGCTCAAGATTATCGCCTGGATCTCAGGGAAGTGTGTTAATCTCCTCGTAGGCTTCCAGAAAAGAAGGCGAGGAATACGCCTCGCTATAGACATTTATAATGCGACCTTCGGAGATCTCCCATTGCTGACGGAAAGGTGTTAAATGAAACGTTGATATGATATTGTCCTCAAAGACAGATCTAATGATGTCAGTGAGGGAGCGGTGATGAACACCCGGGATCTCCAATTCTGGGGCATCTTCTTCAGATGCGAACTTGACCTTTTCTTTGGGCAGGCGTATTTTTACTGAGGAGCAGCGCCAGCCGTTTTCCACACGAAATGGATTAGATCTGTCTCGAAGATACTCCTTTATAAGCCTCTTCTCGCGCACATCATCAAATATGCGCATGTCTTCTCTATCATATTCATCGTTATCAAGAAACGACCTTGTGAGGCGTTTCATTTCAGCACTTGATTTGGAGTTTGCACCGGAATACTGCCAGCACATGAGAAGACCTGCAGTCGGGCTGCTAAAGGGGGAGAATATATCTTCAGGCCGGATGTCTTGGGACGGGAGTCCAGGAATGATCCGAGATCTTTCCAGATGAAGGTTGCCCCCTGTGTCGAAGGTTGGGGCATCAGCGATCGCATCAAGGCCCTCATTTCCGATGGGCGTGAGAGTTGGTTGTTGCGCATAGATGCGGAACAGACCCAGTGCATCTGGTGCAGTCTGATAGGGAACAAGGATGGGCTGGTCGTTGGGGAGATCATCGATGACTCGATTGGGAGGGCTGTCTGGTGGAGGAGGTATATGTGGGAGATTGGTAGGTCCAGCTGGGAGATAGTCCGCATAATGAGCGGGCATGCGGATTCGTCGGCCAGAACGGGCAGAGGTTATGGTAGGCGCATCAGGGATTGGTGGGATTGGTGCGCCGACGTCAGCAGAAGCTCCAGCAGTATTTTCATCCTATTAGTTGTAAAATTAGACAAACCGATCATTCAATATAAAATGACTTACCTCGTGCATATGATCATGATCGAGCCATTGATCATTGTCGACATCCATCTGGTCTTCAGGACTTAGTCGACGAGCATTGTGGCTCGTATCTCTGCCTTCTGGTGAGGAAGATGTGTCAGGAGCCGTGACACGTTGCCTTTTTTTCTTCCGGCGCATTTGCTTCTCCAGACGGCGCTGCTGTTTATAGACGTCAGCATCCAGGCTCTTACTGGCATCACACCGAGCCTCATGATTACTGAGGCTTTTCTGAGTCGTGAAAACCTTTGCACACCCGAGGCAGGTGAGGCCGTCCATGGGATGCACACTCAGCCCAACATGAACACAAACTTTAGATTTTATATTGCATCATAGATAGAATAACAAATTCATAAGACTTAGCGGGAATATGTATTAGATCTAGATGATCCTGCTTCCTGCAACTCTTTTCCAAATGAGTCTACTAACTCCCAGTCTAAGTCCTTGAAGTTGCCTGCGCCATTTCGCCGCATGGCTCAGCTATCACCACCTGCATGGTATGTGAGCATCCTTAAGGTATGACAGACGCACCTATTCTGGTCTGTGGATGAAGCAATCGATGCTTCTGATCAAGCAATCGGTTCATGATTATGATCGTCGACTCGGATATGACGAAGAGATATGTTTGACTTAGAGAATTGAGCGGATACAAGGTGGGTCATGTGATTTCGGAGATTGAAATTTGCCTTTGTTGATCAGATTCTGATCACACGACTTCTTCTACTGATATCATTGCATCACATCTTAAGCATGCTGCACAAACGTCGTTCCAGATCCCCCTCAGCTTCAGAGAGCGACACCAGCAGTGACTCTTCTATTTCCTCAATGGAACGCTTGCAACCTCGCCCTAAGAAGTCGTCTAAAAAATGCGGGTGCAAATCTGATAAAGGTGATCGAGAAGTCAAGTAAGTTTTCTATTCAAATTCCTTGCGCCGAGATCACTAATATAATCTATGATCAGGAAAACTAAGATCTCGAAAGAGAACAACTCCGAACTCGAAGTTCAAGAGGAGTATCTTGCGGCAGCACGTGCTATGGCACGTTGCATCGATCTATTTTGCAACGTGGAGAAACTCCTAAGGGTAGGTCTACTCCTACAGCAAGAGCAGGCCGCGGAGAATGGAGAATTGGAAGAGTCGGAGGCTGAGCGCGAATCCTGTCAGAAAAGGCTTGCAAGTCTGCAAGTCCAAATTTTCATTTTGCAAAGTCTACACTAAGATGTCCGTTTTTTTATAGTTCAACCAATACCCTTGATCGGTACAAGCGCAACTATCAGCAGTTGCTTCAACTGGCTCCGGGACTCCAATCACTTATTACTGATCGCACGAAGTCCAAGGAACTCACTCAGATTGCACGAAAGGTGAGTATATGCTGCTTATATGCGCATATACTGTGTACTGATATACTATTTAGATGACTGCTGTTATTAGTGGAACACGTTCGGACGATGCAACTCGCTTGAAGGTCCAAATCGGCCACTATGCGGCGCCTGAACCATTAAAAGAAGGTTTGAAGCCTACAATTTATAATGGTGGCTCACTGTCCAGGGCGCATATGGGCATCAATCACCCTGTGCTTGCTTCTTTTCTTTGTCCGATATCAGCACTCGCTGATTTCAACCGAGATCCCGCATTGTAAGTACTCGATTTATGACATCCGATCATCTGATGTTCTTTGACTTAGGGCCCGAAAATGGATGGAGATCGGACATATTCGTATGACCTCAATCGACTTTCCGGTGTTTCTGTGGGCCGGAAATCCTCCTGGCAGCAGGTACGACGAGGATGCCATGCACGAGGGCCTGTTCCAGGGCTATCTCATCGAGCGTGTAAGTCTTTCAGTTGATTATATGCGTGTATCTTACTAATATTTTGTATTACTAGATAATGCGTCATATTTTTACAGGTCCGTCCACTGCATTAGGTGACGACTCGCGCGCTACGTGTTCGTGCAATGCGTCCCTGCATGATATGACTACTGTCGAGGCAGAGCATATAGCATATGCTTGCGTTCAGGTGAGTTTTATTTTAATTGACGTACTTAACACAACTGACTTATTGTTTTCATATACTACTACTACTGCCAGGCACGCTTCGCCATCAGCAACAAGAACAAATGGTCCGAAGCGGACGGCGAATTCAACAACCGAGCCTTTTACTACAACATCATCGACTTCATTCGTGAGTGCGAGGACAGAGATTGGGCAGAGGGACTTCTCAAATGGTGGAACAGGTATGTTTTTATCTTCTCTCACATTTTACCTAACTAATCATTACTTTTGCCTTAAGGGCATTGTTTAAGAATGAAAACGGCGCGAAGGTGGAACGACTATAACTGACGACAACGGACCAGGCAACGCGGCTGGCTCTTCCTCGGCTCCAATCAATGGCCTAGCCAAGATGCGAGCGCAGATGGCCGCTCGTGCCAGCACTGCCAAACAACCTGCAGCACCTG